GTACTTCACAAACAAATTTTTATATTTGTATGATATATTGTTGTATATTGATCTGTAGTACAAGTTCACTTTATGTCATTTACATGGACTTCATCTTGTATTATTTGCACTACTAACACTGAGTGCTGAAATGCTGAGATCACTTTGGTGATTTGATACAAATGCATTGGTCCATTGTCTTGTTAATAGAAGGTAAACAAATGAAAAAATAATGTATCTATCTACTTCAAATCTACTTTAAAGTGGCCTAGAAACATTTGCATCTTGAGACGGGGAAGAGTTATAAAAATGGAAAGAGTGACAGAGAGATCAGAATCAGCATGAGAATGAGGAGGTTTAAAACAGCACAAGAGAGCTGTGGAGATTTCAGAACCACTGTGAGGACAGTTCCCGTGAGACTCACTGCAGGAAGATTTAAAACAACTCAAGAGCAGCAGAGAGTTCAGAATTGCGCGAGAGTGGGGAGATTTAAGAGTGTAAGAGAGCTGTGAAGAGATCAGAGGCAAAGCTAAAGTGGGGATGTTTTAAGACAGCACCAAAGAGTGTTCAGAACTTGCGTGTGAGTGTGAATGTGAATGAGAAACTGAGCAGGAGAGTGATGGTGAGTTCAGATTTGGGGGGGCACAAAATACCAACCGAAAGTGTGACATAACTGGGAAACAGTTAAGTGCTCAGTTGAGCATTTTATTAGTTTATTGATCATGACTCAGGTGATGTATTAGTTATTGTAAGTTTTGAGTAAGGTTTGCTTGGTAGCAGTTATAATTAATTGGAACCTCTTATGATCTTCCCAGCTGCTGTGCAGATCTGTGTGCAGCAGGAATTGGAAATCAATGGGTCTGCATGGTGAGTGATGTGTGCACAGCTGCGTGGAATTAAGGACACATTGCTTTGGAGATGTATGGTTTATTATAAATTCATTAAGCAAGAATCATTAATGAATTAACACACAATATCAATGGTAAGACAGTGATGTGCTGTGACTGCAGGATGTGGGAGCTTTTGGACTCTGTGATCTCACTGCATTGTGTGCTTATAGTTTCAGGTTTTCAGCCGGACTCCGAGCTGTGGTTGCTGCAACACAGCAGAAAGGAGGAAAGTTACCTGAACTTAAAGATGGCGGAAGCAGCAGGGTAGAGAGCATTCAAGCTGCTGGCCCCGTCCACTCCCTCCCACATTGATTTTATTAATTTTGTTTTCTTCTTTTAACTTTTGATTCAATTCACCCATTTCTTCCTTCTGCGGCTATGGTGGTGGAGGGAGGTTGCACAGGGCTGTTGAGCGGCTGATCCGGTCCACTCCTTGTGGCCGTGATGGTCGTGGCTTGAGCAGCTGTTCCAGCGTTGATGCATTAGTGTCCGTTCTTTTCCTCTGGCAATGTCTGCAACGGTGGCAGAGTGAACGATCTCTCAGTCCTCGGGAGTTCATTTGGATGGTCAGTTCATTCTTGGAAGTTGAGATGGGTCCCGGTGCTCGAGAGTTGGGACAGTCTGCTGGCTGTATCGGCGGCGATGAGGGAGCTTGGCAGAGGCAGTGTTCTGGGACTGCTCAGTTGCAGTGGGGGCTGTTGCAGCGTGCTTCCTCCTTGGGTGTTGCAGACTCAGGGACAGCTTTGGCAGCTGCGGAGTGTAGCAGCCTCCCACAGCTACTTAGAAAATCAAGAAGCCATGGATGGAACAAAAAAAATGAAGTCTGTCCTAACTTTGTAAGATTTATTTCTTTTTATAATTGTCATTTAAATGGTGCCAGATTATGGCACCGTGTACACATTTTACTGTATTTTCATAAATACCTGTAACAAAGTTCTATACTGTACTCCAGGAGGCAGTCACGCCTCTTAGGATAGCATCTTCAAATGTCATCTATAGTTAGGGACAGGAAGGTGTGACTGCAAGTCAGGTGGGTAAGGGAGCTCAGAGATTAGGATTGAGGGATCTTCAAACTTTTGAAATTTTCCAACAAGTTTGAGGAATATTCTACTTGTTTGGATGAGAGTAAGGGCTGCAGAATGGATCAGCTAACTGACCGTGACACTGTGGTGTAGGAAGCAATTCAAGTGGAGCAAGCAAAAAGGAATGTAGGGGATAGTATAGTGAGGGAGTTAGGCATTATTCTGTGCAGCAATGAATATATGTCCAAATGGCCAGCTGCCTAATTAGTACCAGGGTTCAGGACGTTTGCTCAGAGCTGGATAGAACTTGGAGTGGAAAGAGGAAGATCCCGTTATCGTGGTCAGTGTAGGTACCAACCATAAAGGTACACTTGTATAAGTGGTTAGATAGCATGAAAAGCTTAGCGCCGAATTGAAAATCAGAGCCTCAAGGGTAATAACCAGTGGATTATTCCAATTCATGGGGTATTTGTGTCAATACTAGGGAAATTGGAAGCTGAACTTTTCGAACTGTCAGTAAACTAGAGGTTTGTTCGTATGTTCATTACTGATCATTAAAATGTGCTATAAATGCAAGATTCCTTGTCACAAAAATAGTTATACACTTTTTGTCTTTGACCACTAGTTTTCAGACTTTTTTGTCTTTGGCCTCTCAACCTAGATTGCTTGTGAATATTGACAGTTAAGTGCACATGTGTTTCCTAATGTGTGGGAATACAGTAGTGTATTGAACAGTAGAAGGATGGGGATTGTCCACATCAAGGTGACAAATTATTACTATTTCAGTCTATTTGGAGTGACAAAAGTTCTCTTGCACAAAAGAGTAGAGACATGAACTGAAATTCCCATTATGACTGCCAGTTACCTCTATCAGCATTCCCTGTCTAGGATCATTGAATTGAATAGCCTTTAGTGTCATGTGTCAAATGAGTACAGTGGAAAGTTTGTCATGTCACCTTTCGGCATCATCTTAGGTACAGACGACCTAGGTACAGATACTTTTAAATGTAGATACAGGGGGGAAAAAACGTAGTGTTGTTGCAGAATTTAAAAAAAATAGATAGATTAGCATGGGAACAGTTGAAAAAGGTTTTGGAGTAGATTTGTAGCTCGGGTTGTGGGTGTTATGTTGGTTGGCTCGCCGAGCTGGTTTCTTGTTTCGCAGACGTTTCGATACCATGCTGGGTAACATCCTCAGTGCAGCCTCCGATGAAGCGTCGGTGTGTTCTCCCGCCTAGTTTTTAAACTCTGGGGTCCATTGAGATGGATTGCCTCACTTCCGGTTTTTCTTCGTAGTGGAATGTATATGGGGACGAGTTCAATATGTTGATTAACAAGCATGCTTCGTGGAGTGCCAGGCTTATAGGAATTCTTGTGCCTGTCTCTGCCTAGCTTGGCCCAGGATTTTGGTGTTGTCCCAGTCGAAATGGTGGTTCTCCTTGTCCATGTGGATTGAGATGAGTGAGTCCTGGTTGTGTCTTTTTGTAGCCAGTTGGTGTTCATGTACTCTTGTTGTTAGTTTCCTTCCTGTTTGTTCGATGTAGTGTTTCTCACAGTCACTGCAGGGGATCTTGTAGATGACATTGGTCCTGTCCGTGGCGGGGAGTGAGTCTTTAGTTTGGGTGCGCAGTTGTCGTAGGGTTGACGTGGGCTTATGTGCTACTCTGATGCCCAGCGGTCATAGGAGTCTTGTGGTGAGTTCCGACATGTTCCTGACATATGGTAGTGTGATGAGTGTGTTGGGGCATGTAGTATTTTTCTGATGTTGTTCGTGTAGGCATCTTCTGACCCAGTTTTTTGGATATCCATTATTCTTGAAAACCTGGAAGAGGTATTCTTCTTTTTCTTGGCGTAGTTCTGTGTTGCTGCAGTGTGTTGTTGCCCTTTTAAATAGTGTTCGCACACGGCTTCGTTTGTGTGTGCTGGGATGGTTACTGTTGAAGTTCAGTACCTGGTCTGTGTGTGTGGCTTTTCGGTGTACTTTTGTTTGCAGTTCCCCGTTTGTCTTGCACTCTGCCATGACGTCCAGGAATGGGAGCTGGTCGTTCCCCTCCTCCTCTCTGGTGAATTTTATTCCGGTGAGGGTGTTGTTTCTAAGTTTGTGTGTCTCCTCTAATTTGGTCCGTTTAATGATGACAAAGGTGTCATCCACGTAGCGTATCCATAGTTTTGGTTGGATTTGCGGGAGGGCCGTCCTTTCTAGTCTTTGCTTCACTGCTTCTGCTATGAGTCCGGAGATAGGTGATCCCATGGGTGTCCTGTTGATTTGCTCGTATGTTTGGTCATTGAAAGTGAAGTGGGTGGTGAGGCATAGGTCCAATAGTTTGAGCATGTTGTCCTTAGAGATGGTTTCACTGGGGTCTTGCTCTTGTTCCAGTAGTGTTGTCATTGTTTCCTTTGCTCGTGGTATGTCTATTGATGTAATTAGGGCAGTGACATCAAACGATATCATGGTCTCCTCGTCGTCTATCCTTATGTCTTTGATGGAGTTGAGGAATTCTTGGGCTGAGTGGATAGCGTGGGGTGATTTGTTGACTAGGTGCCTGAGTCTCCTTTGTAGTTCTTTGGCTAATCTGTGTGATGGAGTGCCTGGTAGGGAGACTATGTGTCTAAGGGGTATTTCCGGCTTGTGCACTTTAGGGAGGCTGTAGAATCGGGGTGTGTTGGTTCCTTCGGGTTTCATTCTTGAGAAGTCTGCTTTGTTGATCTGTCCTCTTTGTTTAAGTCTTTTTAGCACATAGAGGATTTTGTTGCCGCTTAGTTGCGGTGTCGGGTCAGTTTGTACTGGCCGGTATGTGTTCTCATCGACAAGCATTGCTTGTGCCTTGAAGATGTAGTCCCTTTTATTCAGTATCACTGTCATGCGCCCTTTCTCTGCGGGTAGTATTGTGATGTTCTTGTCCTCCTTTAATCCTTCCAGGGCCTGTCTTTCCTGTGTGTTGAGGGTGTTGAGTTCACTCCTTCTGGTTAGTGTCGGGATTACTGTCTGTCTTATCGTTTGTTGTGTTTCTTCGTTGATATTGTTGGTCTTTAGTGTGGCTTTCAGTGTGGCTAGGAATTCCATTTTGTTGGCGTCTCTGTAGTCGTAGTTCAGTCCTCAGGTGAGAAGGGCTGTTTTCCATGTCAGTCAGTTTCCTGTCGGAGAGTTTTCTTATCCATGTGTCTGTTCTGTTGTCGTTTTTGTGTGTACGTGTGGCTAGCTTGTCTTGCAGGGTCTGTCTTTTCTTGGCTCTTGTGGTCTGTCGGCTGATGTTAATGGCTCGTTCCATGTCAGTTGTCCAGTCTTGGTTGGTAGCTTCCAGGAATAACGTTTTTTGGCGCGTAATTTCTCTGTTGTATTTGTGGAGCCGGTTGTGTGCGTCGTTTGTCATTACCCTTAATCATCTGGTGGCCATTTTGTTCTGCTGTTTTCCGGGCTTGTGGGTTGTTGATGGGTGGTTTGTACTTCACACTGCGTGGTAATACCTGGTTCCTGAGGCATCCATGTAGAAAGTTAGAAGGCTAGAAGCCTGGCACTCCACGAAGCATGCTATTAGTAAACATATTGAACTCGACCCCATATACATTCCACTACGAAAGAAAACCAGAAGTGAGGCAATCCATCTCAACGGACCCCAGAGTTTAAAAACCGGGCGGGAGAACATACCGATGCTTCATCGGAGGCTGCACTGAGGATGTTACCCAGCATGGTAACGAAACGTCTGCGAAACAAGAAACCAGCTCGGCAAGCCAACCAACCTCAGAATGTCCAGAATGATAATAAGTGACAAATAAGTATTTAAGTACTTAAGTTCGAGTCCGTGCCTGCCTAGTCTCCATCCAGGGCTCACTCCGCCACTGCTCTGGGAAATGGCCCGTTCACTCAACTGTGGGACTCGACCTGTTCACTCCGCCATGGTACTCAGCCCATTCACTCCGCTTTGTTGCAGCCATAGAATTGGGCCTGTGCTCGCTCTGCCATATATGAAGTAAAGGCTACTTGAACAATATTAAGTTAAACTCAGCATAGACTGGTTTCTCATTAGAGAGATGACCATGACCTGAGAGTGACCATGCCTCAGGCAAGGGGCAAAGTTGAGAAGGCAAGGACTTCGTGGTGGCTTTTGTCAGTACAGGAAATAACCCTACACTGTCGGTGTCACTCTATTGCAAACCAGGCAACTGAGCTAACCCATTCCCTGCAGTATAGCTACACTATCTTGAGAAATAAAAAAGAAAGATTAAAATATTTTACATTACTGGTAATTGAATTATGAAATAAGTCTCAAGATCGTTTCAGGAAATTGTGGAGAAAAATTGTAAAATACAATGAGGTCAATAGAACATAGAACATAGAACATTACAGCACAGTACAGGCCCTTCGGCCCTCGATGTTGCGCCGATCTATGAAACCAATCTGAAGCCTATCTAACCTACACTATTCCATTATCATCCATATGTTTATCCAATGACCATTTAAACGCCCTTAAAGTTGGTGAGTCTACTACTTTTGCAGGCAGGGCATTCCACACCCTTACTACTCTTTGAGTAAAGAACCTACCTCTGACATCTGTCCTATATCTATCACCCTTCAATTTAAAGCTATGTCTCCTCATGCTAGCCATCACCATCCGAGGAAAAAGGCTCCCACTGTCCACCCTATCTAATCCTCTGATCATCTTGCACGTCTCTATTAAGTCACCTCTTAACCTTCTTCTCTCTAACGAAAACAGCCTCAAGTCCCTCAGCCTTTCCTCATAAGACCTTCCCTCCATACCAGGCAACATTCTGGTAAATCTCCTCTGCACCCTTTCCAATGCTTCCACATCCTTCCTATAATGCGGCAACCAGAACTGTACGCAATACTCCAAGTGCGGCCGCACCAGAGTTTTGTACAGCTGCAACATGACCTCATGGTTCCGAAACTCAATCCCTCTACCAATAAAACCTAACACACCGTACGCCTTCTTAACAACGCTATCAACCTGGGTGGCAACTTTCAGTGATCTCTGCACATGGACACCGAGATCTCTCTGCTCATCCACACTACTAACAATCTTCCCATTAGCCCAGTACTCTGTATTCCTGTTACTCCTTCCAAAGTGAATCACCTCACACTTTTCCGCATTAAACTCCATTTGCCACCTCTCAGCCCAGCTCTGCAGCTTATCTATGTCCCT